AAAACTCAAAGTTTCAAATATTTACCTTTTTTTAATCGGGTAAACTAGTCTAAATTGGACTCTGATCCTGGAGGTCTCACATGTACAATTTCAAAGAAGGCTAATGGTGGAGGTCAAGACAAAAATCACTCTGCAAATATATCTATGGAAGAGTATTAGTCAGATTATCTGATTTTATCTCTAGACAATTGTAAAATTTGGGTTATAGATTTAGGTGTTTCTTTTCATGCAAGTCCTAATAAGGAGATGTTCAAGAACTACACTTAAGGTGATTTGGGTAAAGTGTATCTAGGAGATAACTAGCCCTGCAGTATTGTTGGGCAGCGGTATGTTGATATCATAATGCCATATGGGTCAATTTGGAGACTCAAGAATGTTAGGTATGTTCTTTGTTTGAAAAGGAGTTTAGTTTCTATGAGTTAGCTTGCAAACTCGGGTTCATGTAACATTATTTACAGGAGATTTATGGAAGATGATAAAGGACTATGATTATAGCTCATGACAGTATTAAATGTACCCTATATATTATGAATAAAAGATCATATTCTATTAGAGTAGCTGATTCAAATGTTGATGGGGTTGTTGGCATCAAAGACTTGGTCATATGAGTAAGAAAGGTATGTATATTCACTTCTTACTGGAGGAAAGCTTCTTAGTCTAAAATCTATAAATTTAGATTTTTATGAAGATTGTGTATATAATAAGCAACATAGGATAAGTTTTTTCAAATACTAGTTTAAAGGTCAAGTCAAAGAAGCTGGAGTTAGTGTATGCTGATGTATAGGATCTTGCTCTTGTTACTTCTATAGGAGGATCTTTGATTTTTTTTTTATTGATGATCACAACAGTGGGATAAAGGCTTGATGTTGTTGATGATCACAACAGGAATGTATAGGTGTACTTCTTAAACACAAGTCAGATGTGTTTGATGTATTCAAAAAATGGAAGGTTGTAGTTGAGATTGAGACAGATTTGAAGCTCAAGTGTTTCAGATTAGATAATAGTGGCGAGTATTATGATAAGAAATTCAAGAAGTATTGTGCTTTGAATGGGATCATGTATGAGTTCATTGTTCCAAGAATACCACAACATAATGATGTTGCAGAGCACATGAATAGAATTATCATTGAGCGTGCCAGAAGCATGAGGTTACATGTTGGTTTACCTTAGTTATGGGTAGAGGTAGTTAAAATGTGAGTAATCGTGGCCCTTCGGATTCTTTGAATGAGGGGTTAGCTGAGGAAGCATGTAGTGAAAAGGAGGTTTAGTTTATCTCACCTTAAAGTTGTTTATTATTCATTCTATGTTCATATTGATACAGGGTTTAAGAGCAAACTTGATCCAAAATCTATAAAGTGTATATTTATTGGATATGGTTCAGATGAATTTGACTATAAATTTTGGGATTATCAGGATTAGAAATTCATTAGGAGCATGGATGTAAAATTTAATGAAAATAAAATTTACAAGGATGAAAATGAAAATATTGAAAATATTTTCGTATATGTTGAACTAGAGGATGATGATGATAAAAAAATAAAGTTAATAAAGTATAGAGAGTACCTCAAACACCTGCAACTGAAATTAGGAGATACAGCAGAATCTTAGGACCAGTATAAAGGTATTATGCTTCCTTATATTATTTATTGCTGACAGATAGTGGTGAACTAGAGTGCTATGATGAGACCATTCAAATTAATGATTCAAAGAAGTGGGAGCAAGTCATGGATGATGAGATGCATTTACTTGATTTAAATTAGACTTGAGATTTGACACAACTATAAGATGGTAAGAGAGCACTACATAATAATTGGGTTTACAGATTGAAAGAAGAACTTGATGGTAGTAAGCGCTACAAGGTTATGCTTGTAGTCCACTGATTTCACTAAAATTTTCTCTAGAGTGGTAAAGATGATTATAATCAGAGTTGTACTACGCATGGCAGTAGTGGAGGATTTACATATAGAGCAGATGGATATAAAGGAAACATTTCTTTATGGTAAGCTTGATGAATAGTTATACATGGTGCAATCTCAGGGATATATGGTCAAAGGTAATAAAGATTTGATGTGTAGGTTTAAGAGGATCTTATATGCATTAAAGTATATAAAGATATCGGTACAGGAGATTTGATAGGTTTATGTCAAATAATGAGTATACAAAGTGCCATATAGATCACTGATAATTTTTCAAATATTTGATAACTGTTATATTATTCTTCTTTTGTATGTGGATGACATGTTGGTTGCTAGATCAGATATAAAGAAGATAAGATGTTTGAAGTAACAATTATCGAAGTAGTTTGAAATGAAAGATCTGGGTCTAGCAAAAAAAATTATTGGTATGAGAATTAATAGGAATAGAAGTGCAGGTATACTAAAGTTGTCTCAGACAGAATACATTGAAAAGGTGCTTCAAAAATTCAACATAAGTGAGGCAAAGCCAATTTGCACTCCCTTGGGTAGCCACATTCAGCTATCTAAGGAACAATCGACTAAATCTAAATCATAATAAGAACTAATAGAGAGGACTCCATAAACTTTAGCAGTTGGAAGTTCGATGTATGTTATGATATGCATGAGATCTGATATTGTATATGTAGTGAGAGTATTCAGCAAATTTATGAGTGACCCAGAAAAACTTCATTGAGAGGTGGTTAAGTGGATTCTCAGGTACTCGAGAGGATCAATTGACAAAGTTCTTTGATTTAGAGGTGTAGGGATTGCTCTACAGGGGTATGTAGATTTTGACCTTGCTAGAGATTTTGATGGTAAGAGGAGCACAACATGCTATATCTTTACTTTGGGAAAGACTACAGTGAGTTGAGTTTCCAAGTTATAGAAGATTGTTGTGCTCTCAACAACAGAAGCTGAATACATTGCTATCACTAAGACTAGCAAGGAGATGACATGGTTGCAAATCTTATGGTTGAGGAATGAGAAGTTGCATAGTAACAACATGGGTGGTATTTATCTAGCTAGGAATGTTGCATTCAATGCTAGGATGAAGCACATCCAGCTTTGGTATTATTTCATCATATCATTTCTAGAAGATGGTCAGTTATCTTTGGAGAAGATACACACAACCCGAAATTCTGTAGACATGTTAACTAAGACGTTGATAAACTAGTTGGCCTTCGTGGAGGATGAGAGCAGGGGTGAGCCACACTATAAGTATTATGATCGATGTTACAGATCAGGAGAATGATTGATTGCAATCAGTTTCCAAGTGAGAGATTGTTAGTGCTGTGTGAAATCTAATTGTGTTGATCAATGTGGTGTTTGCTAGGGGGGGGGGGGGGGGGGGGGGGGTCCTCCCCTTGCTCTATGTACCCGATTTTTTCCCTGTATAATACTTCTTCATTGTGTACCTGAGCACCTTGTGTTGCATTATTTGCTGGACATTTTTCTATGAAATGAATAGAAAGAGAATGTCGCAACGCTATCAGACGAACCAAATGATAAAGGTTAAGCACCACAGATCTCCAAATTGGCACTGCAACACTTCTAGGCCTACTTAACAATTTTCTTTCTCATTTTTCTTAAGGGTGACATCCCTTGGTGTTACTTTTTTTTTGTGAGAATGATTTAAGAGTGAAGAGAAGCAAGGAAAGAGTGATAGAGAAGGGAGATATGTACTTCTTTCTCCCCATTTTCATATAGTGAATTTTTCTTGGTGTAGTGTGGCTTCGTTGTTTTTTTTCGAATTTTGAGTTTTTCCACGTTAAATCTTGGTGTCCATTCACTTTAAATAATAATTTTAGGATTGCTGAAAGTTGTTATGATATTTGGAAATTGCTCTTTATTATCAATAAAAAAATTCTAAAAAATAAGATGGACTTTTAACTAAAATTTAAATTGGAATGACTAGAAAGCCGTTTGAATAATTAAAATTTATAATCAAGCATTTCAGATTATATTTGTTTATAAATAATTCTTTTTTAAAATAATAAATTATCAATGATAAATAATACAATTGTTTATGGAAAGAGTTAGATTATTGAGCAAATTCATCAAAAGTGATTGTCATTTATGATAAAATAGTTATGTAACAAGTATATATAAATAACACTTATAACACTTATGCACATAAGGGATAAGACTTGGACGACTTTTAGGCTTGATTTGGCTAGGGCTTTGAGTGCAAAACAATAGAGAGAGATTGAGTGAACTAGAGATCGAGAGTCAATGGAAAGCGTTGGCTATGACCCAAGCAAGCGAGCGACGTTGGGTGTGTGCGACGACGGTAGCTTCAACTATGCTTAAGTCATTCAAAGCAACCAAAGTGGAAAAAATGCACGAATGATTAATCCAAATTCAAGTTTAGAACTACTTATAGCCACTACATTTTCTTTTTTGCCTTATCATATAACGAAATCCCCTCCAATGAATGTACAATAGTCAGACTGGAATTTTGATAAATAATGTTTTAGCCTAATCTGCATATGTATGGACTTCTGCTTAAATGTTTATTAGGCATACGACATTGGAGTCATGCTAGAGAAAATGCAATATTATGTGATGCTGGAAAATATTCATAAATTGGTTATAACTTTCTTGATGTGATAAGATCGCTCGTATGCCAAATTAATGGAAATCTGATGGCTTTTTGATCTCCTTTTTTTCTAAATTTGAATGTCTTTAAATGGCTAGATTCTGCATTAAATTCACCCCTTTGAATGATAGGGAATGAATAAGGCTTTTAGAGAGATAATTATGGAGAGAAAATGGGGGCATATTTTTATGTAAAAGGGGAACCCGATAAGTATTTCTTCGGACTGATGAAGCTATGGTAGGGGGAGAGGTGGAGAGGAGAGAGAATAGGGTAAATATTCATTTGAGTTACATATATTGCTGGAACTAAAAGCTATTATCGAAATTTTTCTTTCCGACTGTTTTCTAATAGACGAGCGCATTATTATAACAACCTTGGCCTATCACGCTGCTGCTAAATCGTTAAAGCACTTGGGAGCTGTTGTTCTTGATGCCAAAATATTACAGGTGCAATATTATGCACGCAATGCAAAGGAACTGGGGTAAATTCTGTTGATCACTTCAATGGACAATTTAAGGCTGGTGGATTATGTTGGCTTTGCAGGTAAACCAGTTCATTATTCTAAGTTATTGCATTTCATTTCTATGTGAATCTTTGTAAAGCATTTTTTTTTTTTTCGTCATTGTCTGTTTCTTTTTGCAAGGGGGAAACTGGATATCTTATGTGGTAATTGCAATGGTGCGGGCTTTGTTGGTGGCTTCATGAGTACATATGATGAATAGATCATGAACAATAAAGGTTCCATAAGTTTGTGTATGATGGAGCATTCTGCTTCGAACTCACATGCCTTTCTACTTTTAATAATCATGTACTCCGTGATAAGTTATGCTTGTAGTTATTGTTAAAATGTCTACTATTTGATCCTACATGTCTATATAGCTCAAAGAAGGCTATACTAATTTGAATGCACTTAAATACAGTAAAATTTCAAATCATGCAGGATCTCAAAGCAAGTGTGTATGATGATGATGCATCAGATTATGCAGGTTATTATTCCTTCATTACCAATGCCTTTGAAACATATAAATGTGACGCATAATTCCTGATGATTTGTCATCACAAGTTCAAATCTGAAGTGTATGATATGTACCATAAAATATATATGAAACAGTACACAAAATGAATTTATTCATTGTCCTAACCAGAGATATTCATATATCATATGAGGAGGCTAGGCAGAGAGGCCTGCAAGCAAGAAAGATGGGAATGTGAATTCCTTCAAGATCCTCCAGTCCCTAATTACAATACATAAATCAGGATGCATATAATGAGGCTAGTCACTCATCATGTGTAGCTGTTGCAGCTTTGCCAGTTGCAATGGTGGTGGTGACATTGCTGCTGAAGCGTCTGCTGCAGTTGTTGAAGCCATACCAAACTCCGGAAGGAATGGGAGAGCCATAGTAGAAGGTAATATAGCGCTGGTAGTAGGGATCATAGACCTCCACCCATTCAGGAATCCAACCATCGGGGCCATCTCGCCATAAGTAGAGATAGCAAGTGCCATAGCCGCATGGCCCTGCTATGTCATAAGTGTCTGTCGAGCACCGCTCAAATGCTTTACCATATGGATCATCCAGCCCTGGCGCATACACCTGAAACACAAAACTCTCAAATGCTTTGCGTTATAACCTTTATTTTTCAACAACGCCATTAAACTGTAGCTGGAAAAAAAATTCCCCAACTTTTTTTTTTTTCTCGTAACCTTCCGAGTAGCGTGTGCTGGTGGCTTCTCTATTTGCTTAAAATAATAAAAAATAAATAAATAAGAGAGATGTTTCCGAGTATATCTTATTTACTTGAACGAGGATGCTAGGGTAATTTGGTTTACATTATTTGCTTCATGCGACTGATTTCAAGAGGAGCCAAAGAACTGCATGCATGTTTGAGTCCTGAGCATGCATAAACGCAAATTTGATCCTATTTGATATCTATTTTAGGCAGGATTTGATCAATATTTAGCTTAAATTTAGATAAATATAAATTTCGAGATTTTAAATTCTATTATTTTGATAAATTGTATTTTAACCCACCCCGCTATTTGTTAACAATTTCTCTCTCATAAATCTTAAATCTTGAAATAATAGTTTATCAGGAGTTAGCAAGATTTACTCGTTTTAAAAATATAACCTCTAAAGTTTTATTAAATCTGGATTTATAATCTTGCTTGCACCCAAACAGCCCCCATCCATTAATAACAACGTACTCATGAAAAAGCATTAAGCTGATGAGTTAGGTTATAGCTTCGACCGTGAAATTTCCTTCAATCAAACATGAAAATTCATTTTTTTTTTCCGCCATGAAATTACCGCTCGCAATTAAATGAAAATCGTAACTGAAATTAGTGTGTTACAGACCTGGTTGTTGTAGGCATCTCCAAAAGATAGGGCAACAAGGTCTCTGGTGACACGAGGGGAACGGCAGCTCGTCTTTATCATAACCCTATAAGAGCATCCCCTTGCCTTTGTAGAATCCAACGCCTACATTCCAATCACCACAATCAAATCAATCAAACAATTAAAAAATTAGAAGAGAGATTAAGGGTTATTACGGCCTGCCGCAACAACAGCTGATGCTGATGCTCAAGTTCCTCAGGATGTGGATGTGGCTGTGGATGTGGATGCGGATGGGGGTTCGCCGCTTCAGCTACCACTGTAGTGAATGAGAGTGCCGCCACAAACCCAACAAACAATGCGCGAGCAGAAGCCATCCTCACCAAGGTATTTGTGCCCTCCACCCTTTTTCTATCTTCCTCCTCCTCAGAGAGAGAGAGAGAGTCTTGGCTGTTGGAAAAAAGGGCAAATGTCCAGCGATGCGCAGTCAATGTGATTCATGTTGTGGAGCTTTGCCGACAATAAATAAATTGTTAAAGGGTGATCATAGCCGTTGATAGTAGTGGTAGGTTGGAATTCCATTCTTGCTTTAGATGGGTCATGTAATACGGAGTGTGTCCCATCTCAATTCTCCGTTTCTCTCTGCTTCCTATTGAAACCCTAAACGGCTAAAAGTCACTTTAACCAAAAAAAAAAAAAAAATCTAGTTTATTAAGGGATTTTTAGGTTGTCGATAAAAAGAGTATAAAGTATGTTAAGCATGATAGTTTTAGTATAAATATTTGATTTGAAGTAAAATAAATGTAGCATAAAATTTTGGTGTATTTTAAATACTTCATCTAGTTCACTTTGGGTGAGTTCAACATTGCAAGTTTCGCCACTAGAAGCTGCCAAGTGCTGGCCACCATCGGCACCTCCATCGCCGCCAACCACTGACCACTGCCCGCCATCACCCTTGGCTTCAACTGGCCACCCTCGATATCCACCCACCACCTCCAGCCAACCACCTCCTTTAGCCCTTCCTTGGCCATGGCATCAAAGGTTCTGTTTTATAATATTTCTGAATTTAACATACAATGCAGTGGCGCTGAGTCCCTTAGGCGCTGTGGTGCCACGCACTAAAACGAGTTTTTATATATATTTTTGTCTTCACTCGCCATCACTCTTTCAACTATGACTTGTTGTGGAAGGAAACAATGAGGAGATAGGAGAGAGAAATTGAGATTTTGGTTGTTGATCCATTTTCTTGCTTTTTACGAAAATTGCTCAGATAATAGTATGTGACTTTTATCATATTTTTGTTTTTAAAAATTTTGATTTTGATTATTTTGTTTCTTCCAAAATGATTTTATTGTATTTTCTCCAGAATTAGTGGACTTTTGCTGCGTAACTTTTTGTATATTGTAGCACCGATTAAGATATTTTGACTAGTTGATTTTATAGTTTCATTGGATAAAATGGTAATTATTGTATTTTATATGATATGCATAGATTTTGACATTTTAATGCAAACATACTATTAATATAAGCATTGCGAATGAGTGACAGTTACTGTACTCTTATGCAATTTTCTGATAGTTGTTGCTATATGTGTGATTAAGTAATAGTTGGTTGCTATTACTATTACAATAATATGTGTGAAAACAAATGATAGTTATTTACTAATGCTGGTTGGAAACTAACTGACCTGTAGAGCATGGTGGGCCAAGTTTTCCTTTAAATATTGTGGTTAGCGTTTAAGATTTAGGGTTTATGGTTTAGGGCTGTGGGTTTAGAGCTGATTAATATGACGTCGGCCAAAGAGTGACAGCTCTATTTAGTAAGCCAACGGTTATTAATTTAGTGATTACTGAAAAAACGCCACGAAAATCAGAACTCGTTAATTATTTAGTGTGATTACTAGAATGCATGTTACTGTACTTATTTATTATCACAGTACTATTTTACTGTTATTGAGCATGTGAGTTTAATTACTGGGCTTGTGATATAAGATATTGATTTGATACTGATATAAAATAAATGGACGTCATGTGTATACTCTTATGCAATTTTCTGATAGTGCTACGCATTGATAGGGATTCTGATAGTCTTTGTAGATGCTTCAGCTTTATTAATTTGTATGATTTCCTTTTTGATAGGATAATACTACTACGACGTATGATTTAAGAATGATTATTTATTATTTTTTTTGTTTTGACATTCGTACTGGGTTTATTGGTTTATATATTTCATTGTTTTCATATTGCACTGTTTTATTGGCCTCCGTGTCGTATCGATTTTTTTTTTTTTTTACAAGCTTTACTATTATTACATGTGTGTTTTACTATTTCAACATATATTCATAATTATACTATTTATCACTGTTATGAACTAATTGATTATATGCATATTATTTTTTATGTGCTTTGAGTTTAGTTGTAGGATTTTTGTGACCCGTGGGACTTTTTAGTTCATTATATATGTCTTAATGATTTCCGATCAGAAAGAAGGATCAAAAGTATGAGACGGATCATATACACGAGTCTTCATATTTTTCTGTCTTTTTGTCTTTTAATTATTCTTTTGTACCTAGGAGTGGGAAGATGAATTATTATATTTGTATGACTCCTAAGTATTGTACATAATTTTTTTTAACAATAAGTATAGATGTATATTAATGTTTTAATCTATAGAATCATTTTTGCTGATATTTATATTATTGAAAATATATAGATATATAGCTTTGGTTGTTATATTAAAAAATAAAAGATACAATTTTTTTCTCTAAATTAGATTTTGGGGCATCACAAACTTATTATCAGACTAATTTTTAAGAGAAGAATTGATTTGTTACTAGAGCTGTAGGAATTGAGTGTGAGTCGGATATGATTGAGTAGATTAAGATGCATTATTTTTCATACATAATTGATTGCACATGCAAATTATTCAAACAGAATTGTGCAAGTGAACAATTAAAATGGATTTGCTAGAGCAAAATATATCGAATGAACAAAACAATGCAACTCTAGTATCGTTAGACAATATTATGCATTTAGCTAGTGTTATAGCATAAGTAATGTGAGAGACACATAGTCAGATAGCTGGAAGCAGTGAAGAAGAGGTACAAACATTTACTTACATTTCATAAGCTAAAACCCTTGTTGTTCAAAGAAGCTATATGGCCTTAAGCAGCAAAAGATTGATTATTAATGATAGAAAAGATATTTGACAACATGCAGTGCTCAAAGAATCGAAAAGTATCATTAGCCATTTTTTCTATCTGAAGGTGAAGAGGAGAGATTGTGGGTAGGATAAAATAGAAGGAAGTTGCAGGAGAAACTTAGGGGTGTCAATATTTGACATAACTGAAACCTGACTTGAATCCGACCTAAAAATTTTCAGGTTCGGGTAAACCCATTTTGCAAATGGGTCGGGTTCCATTTTATGACCCTTTTTTTTTATTTTGGGTTAGCTTCAGGTCAACTTAAAAGCTTGAAACCAATCGAAAATTGACCTGGGTCACCCCCTCGCCCACAACAATCCCTCACTAGTGCCTGTAACGATCCCTCTCGCGCTTTCGCCCACACTCGCATCGCGCCCGCACCCAGGCCCCTTGATAAGATTGGAACAAATACGCAAGACAATAATGCAGTATAAAGCTGATTTTATTATACTGGCTGGGTAAGCTCCTCATTGTATCCATACTACTAAAGAAAAATGTTACAAATTTCTGCAAGGATTAAACAGAGAGTTGAGGTATCCATTATTACCTCTGCGAATTCAAGAGTTTTCTGAGTTGGTGGAAAGGGCTAGACTGATAGAAATTAATTTGATAGTACCGACATCGAGGTATGATATGAGCTCCAAATATGATGTGAGTAGGAAGAGGACCATGGATGAATTAAGTAGGGATAGAAAAAGTATCAGTGATAAGAAAATCATATATAATGATTCAAGTGGATCAGATCGATAACATCTACCAATAGCTATATCTACAAAGAATGTATCCATTATGGAATAAGACATTCAAGTTAGTGTTACCTATTGACAGGACAATATTTTCGATGCGGGCAATAAGGAGTATATAAGGTAGCATACTGTCCATAAAGAGGATATGGAGGAAGTACTGATTCTGGAGCAAGACAGTCAAAATAGACTGAAGGACAGAGGATTGTAGGATTCATTTTATACAGTAAAAGATCAATAAATAGAAATGATAAAAGACCTGTTGGTAGTCAGATGGAGTTTGTTGCACCAGGACTAACAACACCTAATCTAGTGATGCAACAGGTGTATAACTTGTAATATCAAGAAGACCGACAATAACATGAGAGTTCGACTAGTAAGCAGTTTTGTTTTAATGATTGATTAACATAACATTGCATATTGAATGACGTGTGATTGATTGAATTTTTGGATTGTATGACTGTTTGATAGAATTTGATTTGGATCCTTTGATGAGTTTTTTTTATTATTATTATTTGATTTTGACTAAGTTTGGGATAATTTTAGAAACGAATTTGTTTTATATGATTTATGCCCGAATCTTTAAGGGAAATATTGGAGACGTTTTTTTTTTTTTTCTAAAGATGAGTAGATTGTAATAATTTAATAATTATTAGAATATTCTTTATGTATGTAAGCATGCAATGTAATATACAGAATATTCTAAGAAATAAAGATGTGGTTTTCTTATTTACTTTGTGACAAGCATATTTTATTTTCCTACTTAGTTTACCTTGTATGTTTATTACAACAACTGGGCAATACAAGGTGAGTACTTTCCTTTCATGGTAATATGTAATGATAGCGACTTGTTGCCTTAATCATTTTATCCCTTTCTTGAGGCAAGTTTATAAATGTTCTACGTATTGCAGGTGGGAAATAATTCAGACTATGGCGTGTTGTACACAGTCTTTAGCTATTGATGAGGTGAGTTGTAGGTGATCACTCATGCGGTAGGGTGACAGATTTTAGTAAGCTTTAATCTCAGATTTATACATTTCTCCCACTTTTAATGTCGCTAACATCTACGCATCACCCACTAGATGATAGCAAGACTCAGCTCAAAGGACTCCAAAAGGGTGGAAGAAAATTAGTTGTTTGATGGCACTTGTAGAATTTATTTTAGGGTTTATTATTCCCAACTCAAATCCATAAACTAAAAACGTGAAATTAAACATTAAACACACAACACCATACAATTATACTCGTATAAGATGCATACAATAAGTGAAAAGTTAATGTTAGAGTGATCAAAGATCATGCTTAATGGATTAACATAATGATGCTAGTGCAAAAGCTTGTAATGAAGAAACTAAAGCTACAAGTGTAACAAAATAAGTTTCCAATTGTAATGAATACAATTTAAAGCTCAAACTCTATAGATTAACATAATCACAGAAGCTCTTGATTCACCTTGATCATCAAACGCCAATTGATATGATCAATCAAATAAATATTCATATAATAAGCCAAAGCACATATCATAGAACAAACACAAACATGAAAGCATGTCAAGTTAATAAACAAAAAATAAACCCTAAAGCTATAGAGCAAGTAGGCATAATTTCTTACGATCCAAAGCACACATCAATCAAAATCTACACCGCAGCATGCTCGCTCTTAGGATTCCACTGTTTCACTCTTTATGTGAAGATATCTTTTTTTTTTTTTTTTAGTAGAGTAGTCTTCACGCTCTTTTTCTCCTACCCTTGGGCCTAGCTCTCTTTTTCAACGAAGTAGGAAACCGAAATACTTTATGCAGATCAGTCAGTCACATATAATAACTCAACACAAGTAACATCATCAATGCTGATCAGTCAGTGATTATGCTACGTAAAAAATTCCAAAAGTAAGCTCACACTATAAATTTTACATTCGTATTTGATATTTTACATCTTGTTAGAAAGATGAAATCAACTACAGGAATTAAAGATATATAAACTCCTAAAAAGCCTTCAGGCATACCCACATAAAGAATAAAAAGGAGAAACAATAGAAGAACTATCATCAGGCCAGTTCAAAGCAAAAATCCAAAGGAATCAAACCAGCCAGAAATGCCCACGCAATCTCTCAGCTATTTTGCAGCTTGTTCTACCGCAGGGACATTATCCCATCTCTCATCCACTCCACTGCTCGGTAATGGAGGCAAGGAGAAGACGCTAACAGTAGAACTACCACTTCTTATTTCATTCAGTATCCGCAAAGCTGCTATGGTGCTCTTCATATAAAGACTCTCTATGTATTCTATCTCCTCAAGTTCTGGAACCCCAAAATTGGCCATAATGGATCCTTGCTTTGATGGCTTCTGCTCCCTTTCATCACCTTGTTCACCATTATTATCACCATCTTCAAAAGAAATGAAAGGTTCGTTCTTCTTTGGGAAAAGATGATCCAGCATCACCTCGCACTTCTTCACTAGCGTGTAAAGAAGGTCAGTAGTGAAGAAAGGCTGCTGCAGCACCTTCTGGATGAAAGGAAGTCGGATCAAAGCTCCTGTTCTTTTGTCATACTTTTTTAGTATCTTCACTAACCCTGTAAGGGAATGAATATTCGGTTAAAACAATCAACAATCGCCATATTAAGGTAAAGTAATCGAGTCAGCGTGTCAGAGGTTAAATAGAAAAGAAATAGCTTCTGTGACATTAAAAAAAAAAAAATTCCCCTCAAAAGCTTAACCATCTTCATATTGTAACCACCCAAATGCAACTACTTATGGCTTGATGTGAGTATTTCCTAATATTTCAGATTTTATATGCCAAGCGGAGGGAGCAAAAATAATATATATATATATATATATATATGATTAAATGCAAAAATATTTCACTAGACAAAACAAAAGATAATTAAAGCATCAAAACACTACTCTACCACGAGACAGTAATATGAGATTGACAGAAAGGTTAAAAAAAGAAAAAAAAAACCGTTATATCAGATTAACAAAAGGTGACAACAGCCCTGCAGGAGAGGAAAGGAGGGAAAGAATATGAATAGATCCAAGCAAAAGGAGTTGCATGAAACAAAAACCAAGTAGAATATAGATAAGAATATTGCTACATTCGCAAAAAAAAAATCTAAAAAAAAAACAAAACAAAACATTTGGACGTACTTTCATAGATGATCCAATCAAATTTGGAAGTGTCATCCAACTTTACTTGGGAATAATTTTTATTGATTTACCTAATTAAATGATGATGTGGCATAAATTTATTTAGCATGCCATTTCTCTACAAGAGTTTAGCATAGGAAAAGCCTGTCAAATATCACTACTTGACAAGTATACCATTCAAACTCACATCAAATCTGTACCATTTTCTTAAACTTTTTTTTTTAATTATTTTTGGACATTTAAGCCATTAATACAAATTCCCACACACATCACATACATAACCTTAGAATTTAAAACCTCTTGGTTAGTAGCCGATGAGCTGCATTATTTTGTTAAACTTGTAACATACAAACCCCAAGAAGAAAAAAATGAGAATGATTAACGTGAAAAAAGACCAGAAGGTAGTCCAGTGATATAAACAAACGCACGTAATAAAACCAAAAGAGAAAATGTTTAACTTTCCTCCAAAGTAATAATTTGTTAGTAATTCAAACTTGAAAATGACAACACTTGACCATTGAATTGATTTTCTACCAAATCAGGTGTTAATCAAATTGAATAAGCCTTTTATAAGTCAGCTTAACTTTTGCCACTAGGGCTTGAAGCTACCACAGTTTAAGCAGAGTTGTTAAAACAGATAAGTTAACCGTGGCTAGGTGTAGTAATAGAATATTATGAATGCATAAAAGAAATTTCTATAAACTTATGTTTAAATCTACGTGAAAAGGTTGGCGTAGCTCCAGTGGAAGATAAGATTAGAGAGAGTTGCCTTAGATGGTTTGGTCACATAAAATGGCGGCCTTCCGATGACCCGGTTAGGCAAGTAGAGGTATTAGATTTGATTATGTTAAGAAAGGTAGAGGTAGACCTAAAAAGACTTTGGTTAGAAAATATTAGAAATGATATTTCTTTATTAGATTTAAACAAGAATTTGATTTTTAATAGGACACAATGGAGAAAAAGAATTCATGTAGCAGACCCCATGTAGTGGGACAAAGGCTTGATGTTGTTGTTGTTGTTGCTATGTTTAAATCAATATGCTATATGGATTTGTCTATTAGGCAACAAAGAAGAAACACCCACCAAATTGATTATCAAGTAAATTAAATGTTATCATAAGCTGAGTTGTTCTAATTATAATAAAGTAAATTGTGACTATTATGTGACAATAGAATATCATGGGTGCTTAAAATAATTTTTTAATAAAACTATGCTTAAATCAATATGCTATATAAATATGACTATTAGGCCAAAAAAGAATAAACACCCACCAAATTGATCAGGAAAGAAATGAAATGTCAAGATAGAAGCGTCATACAAACACAAATGTAACATGAGAATTGATTGTATTATAGAGATGGTTGAGTAGCACCAACTTAAGGCAAGGTGCTAAAAGATAAACTTAGGATATGCCAGCACACAACAACAAAAGTCAAAGATGAATCTATAAGGACAGTATATAGAATTATTCTGCACTAATTAGGACCAAAGCTCATGAGCAGATGACTCTCACAATGCCATCACACGGGTAAGTACGTTCTTAGTGCAAGATACTTGAAGAGCTTGAAAAGTTTCAGCTGGAAAGGGAGTGATGGACAATATGGAAAGATCTCATGTGAGGGGTAAGTCATGTGAGGTAGTGAAATATCAAGTGGTTATCCCTCAACTATAATCTTAAGCTTTTGGGTCAAAAGCGAGTTTAACTACTGGTATACCAGACGCAACATTTTCCTCTTTGGTTCACATCCTCCCAACAAAATGGACCCAAAAAATATGCATGAACCAATTGCTTGTTGAAATAATAAGAGTTTTATAAGGATTTTTAATAAAGACATCAAAGATGAATAATAAATGGCCATAGTTGAGAGATGGTGAAAGCAAAATTTATTAAAGAAATTAGTATTTATACTAAAAAATGACATTTTGAAGTTTTTTGCATTTATATAGATGGTAGAAGATGTACCAACAAGCTCAGAAAGTAGAATTGATTGTTTAGAAATAATAGCGAAGAAAAGACAAAAGTATGATTTGGAAAGAAATTGAGCAAATTGACTCGAGTAAACCACAGAATAAAACCTTTTGTAGCACTCAAGAGAATTAATGGATGGGGATTAATAAAGCCAAATCCAAATGGTTCAAATAAGGGTGGTGATCATGATGATTATGACAATTATAGGATGCGGACGCATATATGTATATACATAGAATAGATAATTTAATTCTAAGATACACATCAATAAAACACTAGCCAGCTTCAACCTTGAATTATGATTGGATAAAAATAAAGAGGCAAAGTCTCACCTGGATCTAGCCAAGCTAGAGTAGACTCAATCTAATTCGAGTGAAAACCAATTTCACAAAGATCATGTCATTTATAAGACTATTTGCAACAACATATTTTCTTTTTCAAAGATAAGGCTATAAGGAAAGTGAAATAACATCATATTACCTTTGAAAATTTTTCGTCTAGACTCAATTATACAAGGTATTTTTAAATGTTATGATGCAAGCCATATTTCTAGTTTTGAAGATGTTCAATCATTACAAATGCGAAAACAATTTTAGTTCTAAAAGACAATCTTTTACTTTACCTCCGTATGGTTGTTTGGTTCAATGTTACAGAAGATGGTGTTTGACTTCTAAGTATCTCTAATGAGACTATTTGAACGGCATAGTAGTTCAAATTTTAGTAATTTAGATAGGAGATGCAACCAAGTTGGATTCTATCAAGATTGCCTCAAATAGTCTCATTAGAGATAGTTAATAAAAGAAAAAAAGATCATAACCGTTAATATTTAAGAAATATATCATAAAATCAAATATTATATTTCATAGATAATATCGTTAACTGAGAAAATCTATAATATAGACGACGCTACTTGTTAACATTCACCCAAACGACCCTAAATGAATGAGCATGCTTTGAAATTAAACAATAATCAATACTTACAAACTATCAGATGTGAAAAATTTTATCCAAATTATTATGCTAATGCAGCAGCTGTTTTCAAATTTTAAATATATAAATGCATTTAAACATATACCAGTGTAATTAAGAGCACTGTAGTTCTCGAGGAGGACCATCTCTCCATGAAAATCGACGATCTCCTTGCGCGCCATCATCATCTCCTCTTTGGATTCCAGTTCCGCTGCCCTTGTAACTCGGTCCTGCAGCTCCTGCAAAATAATGCCAGCATTATAACAAACATAGAAATAAAAAAGACTAGTTATGTTCATTTAAAGTGTAGCTACAATGACTTGTTAACTAGTCATGCAAAAACAAAATTTGCACAAATATCATGCAAATTTGAACATTAGAAATTAAAAGTTGGATCATGATGACATGAATGACTGAGACGGGTGAAGTAACAAAATATCTGGTTCGACGGCCCTCGGAATTAAAATAATAAGAAAAGAAAGATGAAAGTGGAGCACCATGTCAGGGAACAGAGAAATTATTGTGTGCCGAATCCGAATGCTTTCGATCATTAAGATATCCAGGTAACAAGAAGGATTGGAGTTTTATTTTATCCGGAATGTTCCGTTAAGATATCCATGGATGTTTATTACAGATTCGATCATTATCTTTGCTACTTGCTCTTCGCCGGAAGGCCTGGATGGCGTAGGGTTCGACATTCAATTACAAACACCCGTACGATTTTTAAACAAAAAATAAAATAAAATTTTATGCAATTGATTAATAATAGATAAAAAAAGTTCACCTTCTGGCGGATAATGTACTCCTCTTCCTTCTCGACGAAGAATGAATTGAATTTCTCGAGCTCCGCCTCCAGAAGATTCAGGAAGTCCTCCTCCTCCCGCGTCATGGAAGCCGCGACGGTGGAGGATGGGGGAGGATATCCTCCGATTGTGATGACGGAGGCGTCTTTGGTAATGTCATTCCGGTTATCTAAGCACGGCCTCTTGCTAGGGCGTTCAGGGATGGAGTCGGGCCCAATGAGTTTGAGGCGCTTCTTCAGGTCCTTGTAGGAGAGGAATTTATCCCTCCACTCCGGCAAGGTCTCCTCGATCTGGTTGCTCAGACTCTTCCCAAACTTCATCTCTCTCTCTCTCTCTCTCTCTCTCTCTCTATATATAAAATGAGAAGAAAAGGAAGACGAAAAAGACAGAGGTAGGGGACGGTGGCCTGATTGATTAAATAAGCAACGAGGAGTAGTTTGCTGTGGAAATTGGAATAGATGAGAATCGGGAATATGCGAAGAGGGCGACGGGAATATTCGGCGGTGGAGTGAAGACAGAGATATAGAGCAAGGGATATTTGGGGTTTTATTCCCTTCATCCACATCTTCTTTTTCAATGGTGGTCTCCCACTCTCTCTCTCTCTCTCCCGCTTTCCTTCTGCACGCGTGTGAAACCAAGGTTCCCATGGGTACCGTCGCCGGTTATATTTAGGCTTCCTTTGTTTTTTTTTATTCTTTTTGTAAAACACAGTTTTAAAAAACATTAGTTCAGAAAATGAAGTTTTCTAACGGATAAGCACATATAAAAAGCATTTTCAAAATTATAAAAAAATGAGAAAAAGGAGTTATTGGGAACGTGATTTGACGAACCAAACAACACAAAAAAAATTCCTTCGTTTTCTAAAACTGAGAAGGCAAAAAAACGCTCAAACAAACAAAGCCTTAGTGTCCTTTCTTACTGTCCTTGCTGTTTGCTGGTCTATCGAACGGAACAAATGAAGAATATTCCTTTATTTTTATTTAGAAGTAGAGCCCAATTTTATCAACTATGAGATGTAAAGTAGGAGATGTATGGGAAAAAGATATGAAATAATGTTAAAGGAGTATTCACACTCAAACACAACGTAAATTGCTTTCATCAAACTTGTTACAGAGGTTACATGCATCTTTAATGCTTGATCAAGTTATATGTAATTTCAAGCCACCAACCATAGCAAGCCATGCATATGAGGAAATATATATATATATAGAAAAATTTTTGTGCCAAATGTATTGGTGCCATGTTGTACAAGTAAGGTCCAGATCCACATAATAGTTATTTAAAAATGCTTTCAAAGAGGTGTTATCATAATTATTTCATCTCAAACCAGTTCTTGAAACCTGCATAATATTAATGTGTGATATCTCAATCTTTATAGCAACAGGGAGAGATGGGGGCAAACTCTAGTCATTGTTAAGGATGAAGGTAGATATTGTAGATGAAATGGGGATGGATGGAGATAGTAGAGAGGGGACAAAGACATCAAAAAGAGACTTCCTGTTATACCAAGGGTCTCAAAGGAAGGAGAAGCTAGAGTTATTGGTGATTTGGAAATAAAAGTCCAGCTTCATTATCAACCATCATACATAGATTTTTTTTTCCAAAAAAAAGGAAGCTTTATTAAGAATTAGTTTCCAGTGGAAAATATATATAACACAAACATTACAAAGCTTGTCATAAGTAAGGCGGCATCATATAAGAGGATAGTAGTAAGAGAAGATTAAAGCCTGAATATCAAGAATGCTAAGGCCACCAAATTGTTTTTGAAGAAGAGTTCTTTTCAAATAAATGAGGTGAATTTATAAATGTTAATGTGGCCATTAAAAATGGGATTTGGCATACATTTTTATTTATAGCTTTACAACAGCTTTTGGGGGTAATAGAACCTCTAATTTAGTAGGAGAAGCAATTCTATATGATGTTTCTAATAATTTGAAGCCTACCCATAAATGATAGCAGTTTGGCTTTTCATCCATCCAACGTTTAAGTGATTTTTTAAATGAGAAGATGAAAAATCAAAGACAAATATGATCTTACTTGAAACGGGGATGCCTAGATATTTGAGAGGAGAGTTGGAGGTGGAAAGGTTCAAAATAGTGCATATTTCTATGTAATTGGAGATGTTAGGAAGAAAATGATAGTTCTTTTCCTTTCATTGATTTAGAGGCCAGGGTGCAAGTGAAATTCCCTCATAATAATATTAATAGAGACCACATTTTGAGTGGTGGAACTACCAAACACTAGAAGATCATATGTATAGAGAATGTGAGTGGATTGATTGCTACTCGTGGAGATGCAGTTGCAAGAATTGTTCAACATAGACTTGTCAAATAAATTAGATAAGCCACCCATGATAATGTAGAAGAGGTAGAGGGATAAGGGGTCGCCTTGTCTTAAGCCATATTTAGAGATAAAATGTCCTTCTAGAGATCCATTGAAACAAATGGAGAAATGAACGTCATTAATGTAATCTTTTATCCAAGAAATGAAAAGAGACAAAAATCCTTTTTGTTCAAGCTTTTATAAGGGAAGTAGTACCAAATGCTTGAAAAATATCAAGTTTGGTACAAAATAGACTAGGTTTACATTTGTTTTTGAACTCACCCAAAAGCTAAAGGAAAGAAATATGTAATAAGATGTGATTCTTTTATTAATAAAACTTGATGCGATGTATGAGGAGTTTAGGCCTATTAGCTAATATCTTAGCAATAATCTTGTAAAAGGTGTTGCAAATTGATATATGCTTGAATTCAAACATGTTAGAGGCATGATAAGCTTTTAGAATCAGAGCAATAACATAAGCCTTGGTCATCCTCAAGAGGTGAGAGGTTCTAAAGAAATATTTGATAGTTTTACAAATGTGGAAACTAGTAACTTCCATGTGGCCTTATAAAATTCAAAAGTAAATCCATCGGGCCAAGGAGACAAGTGGGAGCAGAGAAGATAGTGTTCTTGATCTCATCATCATTGATTGGAGCAATTAAGGTGGATGGCATAAAGTTTGGGATAGTTTTACCAAGGGGAATTATGTTTTGGCTAGTTTAGTTTGTGTTAGGTTTGTTATAAAGATTTTGAAAGTGGAGAATAATGGCTTTGAAAAATTTCGTAGAGGTATAATACTTGCACAGAGAAGTTAAGATTTCTTTAATATGATTTTGAATTTGTCTGGTATGCAATTTTCTATGTAGGAATTTCATATATTTTTTCCCTTAAGCAAGCCATTTGGCTTTAGCTCTCTGAATTATCTACAAACTTCGATCTATCAAATTTCACCTTATAACTTTTGATATATTGTAGTTACCTTCATTGTGAATATTTTAGTATGATCATAGAGCAATTCCCTATATGCTCTATGGGTTTGTATTTATTGAATTTTGAATTTCTATGTTACAAATTTCCTTGAATAAATTTGGGCATATGTAGAACACATCCAAGAATCATTCATGCAAATTTGAGCTAAATAGGAATTAATTTTACTAAATAATTCCATAAATACTCAGTAGAGTATTTATGAAATTACTTTTTAATCACTTGGAATTATGTTTTAAAATCATAATATTTTAAAGTACTCCTCAACAAAAATCCATAGAGCCCTTAAACCCATAATTTAATCAAGTGTATGAGGAGTTATAATTTTTTATAGTTTATATGATTTTTGGAATTAATTTGCTTAGGATATACACAGTCAATCGCACTTTTACATGCAGTTGTGCTTGAATATTTCTCCTAACATAATCCTTAGACAGCGCATATTACCTCTAATCCATTCGACTAGAGATCGAACAGTTAAAGTAAAATGGCTCTAAACTATGGGTGGACAGAAGAAATCTAGTTCGAATATATTATATCTTTCCATCTAATTTGAATCAAATGGACGACGTAGATTTTGTCTTTAATCTCCTGATCAATTTCTCAGCCATAGGTGAATTTCAGCATGATTCAGTAGATCTAATCAGTGGATCTTGCTCCAATTCATCCCAGAGCATCATCTACCTGTAAAATTTCAATCTAATGGCTCATTTACAATGGATTGAAAGTTTACTTCACAATTGAATAACATATGAAAGTGTGCTTGGGTTTGAAAATTACCTCTATACATAGTGAATATGAAGGAGCTTTTGATTTGGTTGCACTCCACTTGATCTAGGACACAACTTTACTTCATACTCCAATAGTTGAAGGACGTTGGATTGAATTTTTTATTTTTGGCCATATCAAGCTCACCGGAGCTCGTTCACCTTTGCATAGAAGTTGACTAGGAGTTATGGGAAAGCTTGGGAACTAGTCAAGAAACTCTATGGATTAATTTGAAAGAAATAAGTAGAGACCTTCTTCTTCTTCAAATTTGTTATTATTTATAGCTTGATCATAATTGAACCAAACTCAAATTCTAGTCAAGTTTTGCCAGCTCAGATTGTTATTTTAGTTATAGGTGATCCAATAAGAGCCAATCAAGTGTTTTAAAAAGTTTGAAAGCTTGTGGTCAGTTAGGGTGGAAGTTATGCTTAAACTAATGGACTATTGCCACTATTTCTTGAGATTTTGCCTACCTAAGGCCACCACATGGCCTGAGTTGATGTGACAAGGTGTCTGAAAAGTTCTTTAATCAAATGCAAGGGTTGGTCTAGTCCAATTTCTTTTGAGTTACAACATGTCTCATGCAAAAGTGTTGTTTAGAACTTAGGTAATCCTAATTGGCTAACCCAAGTCAGCCCATGCATTGGGCTGGCCAAGTTTAGCGCAAATGACCAATAGGCTTCAAATTCAAGGGTTAGTTTGGTATAATTCCACAAGGATTTAGATTTGGTTTAAGGAAACCTTCCTAGATTCACTTGGTCCTAGTGTGCCTAAGGGTTAAACTTTCTTGGGTTGATTGTTGGGCATCAAATGGATAATCCCAAGGGGTTTGTTGGCCTTGAATGCATATCTAGATCATTTGAAATGAAGAATGAGTGATTTAGGGCTAGTAAACCTAGGTTGACTTGGTCAACTAGGCTTGACTAAACCTTTAGGTTGGGTCCAGTCAGTTCTAAATGATACTTGAAACTTGTTGGAAGATGTTTTGAGTCATGCCAAGGTCAAGCCAAGTTGAATTGAATGCATATAAGCTTTAGGCCAAATTTAAGTTTAAGCTTAGGTTTAGTCAATGGCTCAATTTGAATGCTTTGGCATAGTTTAGTTGGACTTATATGCATGATTGAAGGTGTTTGGGTCAAATGGGCTCTAAATGGTCAGCGTAACCAAATCAACCTAGCACATCAAAGGGTCCATTTTGGTTTAGGGATGATCAAGGATGATTGTCAAGTGCCTAGTGGATAAA